TGTGACAGATTTGGAAAAGCGGGGTGCTGCCTGTACAAAGCCGTTTGACAAAGTGCTGCATCATCAAAGATGTATGACGCTGTCTTCGTTTTAATATGATTTTCGTCTGAATTTCAAACTTGTGTTAGTTTTCACCTCAGTCGTACTTTCACAGCCACAGTTTCGTCAGATCCCCGTACTTAACACCTTGCTTACGAACGTCGTATAAGACGACATATTATTTTTGTTACGTCGTATATTACGACATTGCACGAAGGTCATTAGCAAATGGCTCGGAAAAGTTTTTTCAATACTTTAATTAAGTTACCACAAAAATATAATCTGCGAGAGGTCATTTTGCTACAAGTCAAAACCAGGCCAGGGGAAGGGGATCAGCCACGTCGTGAACAGCCACTCATTCGACATTTTGCTGGATGGTGCGCATACGGAATAGTCGACGCGAGAAGCCCGCCGCGCCGGCTGCCGCTACACACGATATTGACTTTGGCCACTTATGGCGGCAGCTTCGGGCGGCGGGGTGGAAGTCCAAGCGTCCGAGTGGCCTCCAGACTGAGTGGAGCTACTCGAGTCCTGACAACACGCACGTCTTCGTGGGGGAGAAATCAGTCGTGGACTACGCGTTCGACAGTGGCTTGCTGGAAGAGGCGGATGCTGATGCTCAAGTCCGAGATGAAGAAGGTGGGGAACTAGACCAAGCAGGAGCTGGTAGTAGTGGTGAAGAGCAACAACACGAGGGGGAAGACGTCGTTCGGCCTTCCCAGATCGACACGAGTGTCCTTCTTTCGCAGCATACCATTGATCGAATGTTCGGCACCCCAAGTGATGATGACATCGAGCTGTCGCAGACTGCAGTGAGCAGAGCATTCAATCTATCCTCAGAAAATCTACAAGACGGCGGTGCCCGCGAGGCCGCTGCTGGACTGCATTTACTTTCGGAGGCTTCTGGATTAGAGAGCGAGGGTGATGTAGACGAAGAAGAAGCCGCTGCGTCTCAACCTCGACGACGGACACTTACGCCGTTATCAGGCAAAAAGGACGTGAATGTTTTGCTGGATGGGGAGAAGCCGAGTGACTACGAGAACTACAGCTCGGGTGATAGCGACGACGACGGCATGAGTGATATTAACAGCGATTCCGGAGCCGGGATGTCCGAGGAAGATGACGACGTCCTGTCCGACAGTGACGCAGTTGAAATGGACAAGGCTTTCATTGCGGCACTACAGGTGGGCAATAACGCACTTAGCAGAACCGCTGCAACGGAGAGAGAGCAGACACTACGAGGAATGCAGTGGACGCCAGTGTCTTCGGAGTACGAGACAGATGCTGCTGCGTACCCTGGACTGGGCACCGAAGAAGCAAGGCCTGTGCCCGACCTGCTGCAATTATGGAGATCGCCAATCCTCACCTTCTTTTATTTCATGCCGAAATCTCTGTGGGTTTCTATCGCGGCTGAAACGAACCGATATGGTCTACAGCAAGCTGGCAAGCGCGCCCGTAACATTCAGGCACGGCAGACTGACCTTCGGCGTGAAACTATCAAGCAGATTACACGTCGTTTGAAGGCTAAGGCAGCATACTCTACACACGAGATTCTTCACGTTGTTGGACTCCTCGTTGCACGGATGCTCTGCCCTCAAAAGAAACGATTTGGTGCGCACTGGAGTATGGTGGAAGACGGTGCTGTTCCCGCCGGTCTTTTCGGGCGGTTCATGACGCGTGACAGGTGCCAGAGTATCATGCGAGACTTGCACTTCGTAGACAACACGATTGACCACGGTAACGATAAACTCTGGAAACTTCGCCCCGTTGTTGACAAGGTCCAAGAGCGCTTTTTGCTGGGGTGGTCTCTTTCTGCTATTTTTTCGTTTGATGAGGGTATACTGCCGTCCACGTCGAAGCGGAACACGACCCGGATGTTCATGGCCGACAAGCCTCACCGCTACGGGTCCAAACTATTTATGGTCTGTGACGCGCAGACGGCATACTGCCACAGGTACGTTTAAAATTTGTATGTCGTAACTATCTACTTTGTGTTTGCCTGACAACAGTGAATGTCGTAACTATCTAGGTTCGAAGTTTATGTGGGTAAGCGTGCATCTGCTGGTGGACCTGACACCTCAGTTGACTTTAAGACTGGAGCTGCAGCCGTGGTCCGGAATTTGAAGATTGTTCTCGCCCAGTCTCGTCACAAGTGGCATACCGTCGTAATCGATCGCTACTACTCGTCCGTGCTCCTTGCGATTGAGCTCCTGAGTATGAAGGTGTATGTTATTGGCACGATCATGACTAACCGGCTTGGATTCAACCCGAATCTCAGGGCTACGAGCAAGACACGCCCAGTGAGCATACCCCACGGTACATTCTCGTTCTCTCGCTCTATCGCCATCCCGACCATGATTTCCTGTGTTTGGTGGGACCGGAAGACCGTCTATTATCTCTGTACGGGCTCCATTATGGCGGCGTCGACAATTGAGAGAAAAATAAAACGTATCGGTGCGGTTCGAGTGCCGTGCCCCTCTGCTGTAAATGACTACCAGAACTGGATGAGCGGAGTTGATGTCCACGATCAACTCCGTCTCCAGTCGTATTCACTGCAAATGTCGACGAGGTTCACGAAATATTATAAGAGCCTATTCTTAGGTTTGCTGGACATGGTCATGGTAAATGCGTATCTTACGCACAAAGAGGGGGCCAAGATCAAGGGGATGGCTGCTATGAAGCGCTCAGAGTGGTTTTGCGTCCTTCAAAATCAACTTCTCCAACTCAAAGCCGAAGATTTTGCTGGAGTGGAGGCAACACCGCCTCCTGCGAGCCAAAAGCGCCAGCGCACCCCAGTACGCCTCACGCACGCGCTGCAGCAGTCTGAAGATTGGGTTACCGTTACTGGGGTCCAGAAACGCCGGCAGAGATCGTGAAAGGTCTGCGCGCTCTTGCGTACTGAAAAGAAGAAGTCCTTCGCAACAACGTTCTTTTGCGAACGCTGCTCCGTTGATAATGCGAAATGCTGGTTGTGCAACCGTATTCGACGGGAATACAAGGGCGTTGCGAAGACATGCTATGATATCTGGCATGATGACTTCGACGCCGGGCAAGCTATCCCACCAAACTTAGGGAAGCGCATTGTGCTCCGTCGGCCCGGCCAGAAAGCTGGCCAAAGAAAGAAGACGCGACGGGAACTTAGACTTGGGCACGATGCTGGCAGCGACGACGGCAACGGTGGTGACAGCGAGAATGGTAGTGATGACGAGTGAGCTTGGTTGCGTGTCAGTTGATTAGTGATTTGTTTCAAATACACAGCTTCTTGAACCATCGTACCTTCGTCCTTGCGTTTCTTGATTTAAGTGGACTGCCTGTGAAGCAATTTAGCCATCTGTTGACTGCACTTGCAGTCAGTTACGACATTGAGCAGGCAATATTGTCGCTGAATCCCGTCAGAGTTACGACATTGAAAGAAAAACCTGTTGAAAATTAATGCACCTAACCTCACGTCAAAAAGTGCACCCTACGTAGTAACATTGATATACCGTATCTTACGACGTGCGCTTACGCGTTCTGGGCAAGTACCGTCCGGACGCAAGGTGTTAATGGCGATTATATTATACTGATCAAAAAAATAAAGAACCATGAGCGAAAAAAGAATTTTTAAATTGTCTAGAACGACGGATGATCAACTCATGAAACTTGCCAATTCCCTTGGCGTCAAAGTGGATCAAATTTCAAGCAGCATTTAGACAGAAGCAAAGATTATTGTATTCTGAACATGGGAGCGCCTAAGATCGGGTGCAGTCATTGGATGGCAGTCTCAAACAAAGATAAGGCGTACTTCGATCCCCTCGGCTTACCTAGGCCACGTGTGATACCAAAGGATTATTCTTATCGTGAGGTTGAAATACAGAATTCTCGGTTTCGACACTGTGGGCAGTATAGTGTTCCTATTATACTATCTGCAACACGATCAATTAGATAAATTTTACAAACTCTTCAAAGATCACTATGATAATTTTTGGTCAATCGCATCAAAAATATTGATATATTATAGGCATGGATTCGACATAATTTTCATCATGTCTCGTTGTAATATACACAGAGACACGCAATGGATGTCCAGAATATAGACGCACAAGATCCACAGCCAATTCAAATTGACGATAACTACTACTTACTACCAGCTCCCGAACCAGGGTCAAAAGTATCTGAGTCAAGAATTACGTTGGACGACTATAATCGCATCAGCAAAAATACTTCTCCAGTCAAAGCGTGCATCGTTGAAATAGCATCGCTTGCGCAGTTGCGCGCTAAGTATCAATAAAGGATCATATTTTTATGATGTCTTCGTGCGGGGATCCCGCCATGAAGTCACATTAGCGAGTGGATCATATGACTTGTATTCATGTTAAATGTGTCGAGTATGTCCGTAAAAATCTTGCCTCGCACGAAACAATGACCGAGACAAGGTTTGGTTCATCTAATATCAATAGGAGATAGGTTTTAGATGAAAATGTGAGTCATAGCAAAATACTCACAAAGTTTTTAATTAGAACATGTCGATAGTTCCTATAGTAACTTTATATCATTAATAAATATTTGTGAGCATGTGAGTATGTGAGTATTGGGATAGATAAACCATAAATACATGTAGGGGTCTAATGAAATAATGTAAATATTTGGAGTGGCTAAAAAAGGCCATTTTTTATTACTCACATACCCACAAATTCAAGAGCTTCTCATGGTATGATTTTTTTGATAAAAATCTGTGAGTATTAAAACAAAATACTCACGCAGTTTTCGCATCTAGAGTCACTGTGCAATGTCACAATAGAATTTGGTCCATACCGGTAGAAAAAACGGCTTTCCACAGCGTAGTTTCACTGATGAATCATGGCAGCAACTAAAGAATTCATGATTTTTTGTTTAATCAAATCATGAATTCATGGTAGTTTAACAAAGCAGAGTTTCAGACTCAGCAGAACCGCATGAATCCATGACAGTGCTTTTTTCTGTTAAAGACTATCGATGACAAGATCCATGACGATGCGCAGATCGACACGAGCTGTTGGGTTCACGCCAGGTGGAAGAGCTGCATTCTGGGGGATCGATAATATTCTGCGCATGTCGAAGGTGACATTGACAGCAGCTCCAGCAGCTGCATGTCGAAATGTTCCGCTCGCTGTTGGTCTGATGGTTGGGTGTGGTCGGGTCGTACTGTCATAGAGCGCATATCGAATCTGAGTACCAGGGGCACTGATTTTCAATAGCAGCACATACTGGATCCCAGTATAACCGCACCACCATCTGGCAGCACCTTTCAGACTTGCCCAAGATTGAGATCGTCCAACCTCCACTGCCAGTGTCACCCAATCGGTAACGGTGCGAGGTGCCGGTGCCGGTGTTCGGTTGAGCGTAGTTCTCTTTGGGCCAAAAGTCGCATCAGACTCCTTGTTCGGGTTGGCAGCTCTTCTCGCTGTCATCGAGCCGCATTTTCCGACCTCGTCTTCATTTCCTGCCGCACGTAAGAATTTGCTCGTGAATTCTGCCGCCGTACTCTCATGCACTACCGTTACAAGTTCGACTATCACGATACGCCCATCGTTGAGGGCGAGAAATCGAAGTGGAATCCGCAGTCCTTCACCGTCTCCAACATACGTATTGAACGCAGTAACGGAGACTCCCTCACAAACGACGTACGGATCAATTTCGTCGTGATCGTTGTCGAAATAACTCGCAACCGCATCAAGCTCCAGCGCATCGATGGCGACGCGAATATCATCAGCGGTCTTCAAAGTCGTCATGCTTGTTGCAGCTGATGTTGGCCGTACCACGTCGTATATTGCACTGGAAGAACAATACGAATCCCCGTCGCAGCATGTGCTCATTTTCTCTTTCTCGAAAATGTCCTTTCCCATTTAATGGGAAAGGAAAGTGGGAGGGAAAAACCGGTTTTCATCGTCTGCTCGTCCGCTCACTGTCCGCTCACTGTCCGCTCAAGCAATGCATAATAAGGCATCTAGAGTACCCCTAGACACCCTCAGAGACAGCGATGATGTACTACATGTATATAGTAGATATAATACATATTATGTGCTCGCAAGCTTCCACGCTTAGAGTACCGCTGAGAAAAGCCGGGTTTTAATCAAACTTTTGACCAGTAGGAATCAGGCGGAATAAAAAAATGGCATCTGCGACGTGTGAATACTGTAGCCATCTTTAATACAGCAAAAAGACTTGGCGGATGCTACAGACCATGATTTCAAAAAGGGTTTGATAAAATAGCATGGGTATTTCTAAGTTTTTTTCCATGATTTCGTAAAATAAAATACGACAGCTTGGTAAAATATGTTCACCAACAGACGTGGTCAATCATATTGACAGGAGATCAAGAAAATTAAAGAATGGGAGAGATGATGCTGCGCCGGCTCACTGATAAATTGCATAAATGACCTACCTTATGTCATATAACTACAGTCCTGCACCTCCAATTCGACACCGGTATCAGTCGATACCCTTCCAGAGTTTATGATTACGCGAATCGGATGCGCAATTACCTTTGCCCATCACCACCCTAGCAATTAACCTCAACGGTTTCCCCTCCTCGCCGAGGGATGACATGCCGCATCGATTTGATTTTAAATTTTGGATCGGACGTCTTCATACAAACACACACTTTGATTTTTACCGCCAAAGACAATGAAACATCTCCCTTCCTCCTACATGTCCCACAAAATCAGTCTTTGTGCGAGAAGCACAAGTCAGATCCTGCATGCTCTCACTCCGAACTTGCTCGTTGGGCAACGGAGCGCTTTAAGACCCCCAGGCAGTAAAGCGCACTACCGTCCGGAGTATTCTTAAGCGGTCCGCGGAGGTTGCCGCCTTGCCGGACGCCTATCGCGACCGGAAGCACTGTTGCGCGCCCGCGATACGCGCGTCTGACGCCAAGATTATGCAGAAGATTGGCGTAAATTTTGTACTTAATTAACAAATAAAATATCAGTGCACTGGATTTGCGTTTGTTTTTTGCTTTACGTTGCCCTGGCACTGTTGATATGGTCCGCCCTGTCGAATTGGAGATGCACGACTGTAATACCAGGATTCTAATGCAAACATGGTAAAATCATGGTTAACATGAAAACATGGCTAAGTAAAACATGCAATATCATGTTTGGCCTTAGAGTCTGTGTCTAGCCAGATACTGTTTTTCTTGCGAGTGCATCACTCTGCTACTGTATCGTTTCCTTTGCTTGCGTCGCTGAATTTTACAATGGTACGCAGGACATCCCATCGGCGGCGCACCATCCCACTCTTTGTGTAATCCGTGCCTGGCTCCTTCCAAAACTGTCGCCAGTGTTGGTTGGACGTTTTTGGAGATCTCGCCAGGAACGCCTATGTCAGGGCTCTCTACGACTGAGATTGGAACACGGGGGGGCGTTCCAACTCAGTGCTCCGTCATCCTGGGTAACCGTTCCAGCTGACCGGGGCGTTATGGCTTGAGCCTCCGCGTTTTCTAGAGCAGCAGGGTCACCGGCATCCTCATTGAAAAGATCTGTTATTCAAGTAGCGTCTACAACGTGCGTGTTCGGCCGATAGTACAGCCGCGACAAATCATCCATTTGTCCCATCGATGTCCCCGGTTTGTGGTATATCTTGAACCGCAGTTGTGATAACTCCATCGCCCAACGAACCAACTCGGCATTTGTAGTCCCAGTAGTTTCTCCAAAACCCACGTCAGTGCCTGGTGGTAGATGTACAGGTCGAATTTAGCGTGACTGAGGTAACCCCGGAACTGGCGCGTCGCCCAGAGAGTTCCGCAGCACTCGAGATCGGTCGTCCCGCTCGTCTTATAGATCCAGTTCCGTTGGGACCACACCAACATCTTACTCGCATATGTGTCACGCTTGTCAACCTCTTGCGTGAGACACGCTCCTACCACCAGGAGTGACGAGTCCACATACAGCCTATAGCGCGCCTTGAAATCGGGGTACACCAATGTGGGAGGTTCCACTGGAGCTCGTTGAAATTGACGAAACACCACCTCACAATCATCATTTCATTGGAACAACACGTCCTTCTAGTTCAGGCGTTCCGGAGGTGCTGCAATGACCGCCATGCCCGGTATGTAACGTCTATAATAGCTGGTTAGCTCCAGGAACGCCCTCACAGTATGCAGGTCATGAGGCCTCTCGATGTTCATCACAGCCTTCGCCTTTTCGGGGTTCGACATGATGCCGTAAGCGTGACAATATGGACTAGAAACGCCACTTGGTCGCGCCCCCTATGGCACTTCTTCATCTTTAATTTGAACCCAACGGCTCTAAAGCGTTTCAGAACTTGACGCACGCGAATCAGGTGCGTCGGGAAGTCGTCACTAAACACTACGCAGTCATCGAGGTACACGTGGAAAGTCCTCCACTTAAGGTTGACGAGAACGCTCTCCATCAGGCGTTCAAAACCCGGAACGGCGTTACACAAGCCGAACGGCATGTCTAGTTACGCATAGAGCTCAAATTTGCTCGTGAAAGCCGTTCTCTCCACGCTGTCTGGGTCCATTGGAACGTTCAAATACCCAGAGGCAAAAACCATGGTAGAGAATAGAGAGGCGTTACCGAGGACGTCCCCAATGTCACCAATGAACTGCATCCGGTAGCTATCCTTCACGGTGACAGCATTCAGCTTTCGATAATCAATGCAAAAGCGAATACATCCGTCAGTTTCATGATCATCAAGACCGTACTTGCCCACGAGCTTGTCGACGGCCTGACGAGACCAATGTCAAGTCTCCTTCAACCTTCGACACGCGGTATGGCAGCTGTTTGATCGACGCATGCGCTCCAGTGTCGATGCCTAGCTTGAGAAATTTTGTTCTTCCTGGTTTCTTCGAGGTTTCGACAAACAAATCCCGCAGGTCTCTTAGCATTTCTGCAAAACGTCCTCTCTGTGCAGCACCCATCGACGAGTCTTCAAAGTCCACCTCGAGCTGTCTTCCTGTGGTCTTTCAGGGGGTGGCCATTTTTTCTTCGAGCTTTCCCAATCTGGGGGGGCAAAGGGCTTTTTTTTTCATTATTACATTACAGGCGGGAACTTTCGGAGAAGGATGGGAAAAGTGTTGCCACGAAACCCCGTTTTTGGAAAAGATGTGTCCCGGCAGAGAAACATAGGTTCCGGACGAAATCTCAACTGCTTTCAGTATAGGCGTTATACACCTCCATGAACACTGTTCCTTCCGTCACTGTGCAGAGCGTCCTAGCGAATCTCAGAGATTCGTCCGCCCCTGGAACGCCTTCCACCAGCACCACAGAGTTGCCCTTCACTGTTCCGCGACACTTGATCTCACTAGCGCTTGACGGCCAGGTTCTAGACGCACCGTCGACGATACTAAGGCCGCATACGTCTCTTTCATTCTCGTTTCGCCCAAAGAGATCACATCCCCAGTTCTCTTTAGCGCCATTGTCTGCTCCTCCAGGTCGATCACCGCGCGAAACGCCCCCAACGAGTCCGTTCTTAGCATCGCGTCCTCGAACAGACCATCAACCAAACCACGAATGGAAGCGTTCCAAGTGTCTAGCAGGTCAATGACTCCGCGCAGTCGAATTGCATGCCCTGAAACGATGTCCAAACTTCCCGAATAAGGTCTCAGAGACTCGGAAGCTCGTCCGAATCGTTTCAGCCCTCGCTTGTCCACAAGGCTGGCGACCGGACCCGTGTCGGCCAGCATCTCCGACAGACAGCAGTCGATGAAGTCGTCTGATAGGGCCTGCATCCCGCCGACACTGCAGATGACGCGCTTGCCCGTCGGGACGACACTTTCATTGCTGCCCACAGCTTTACCGCCGTCCACTTCGCGCAGCCCCGGCTTCCTTCGCTTCTTCGGCGTCCTCCTTGCGTTCGCGAGATGCACTTTTGGGGCCTCTTCCTCTATTTGAGCTCCTCGTCGCTGATTGGCAAAGTGGACTTCACCCTTTTCCGTAGATTTCATCTACCGTCGCAGTAGTTAGTCCCACTATTCCGGAATTCCTCCTTCCCCTGTCCCACAGCTTCTGGCGATTGGTCGGGACATCCGTCTTAAAATAGTTCCGGGCCCAAGTCATCGCCCGATTTAGGAACGCCTCCGTAGGTACTCCACCCACTTTGAGGAGGTACACAAGCAGAGCCACCTCATCTAGAAAGTATTCGCCCTTATTGTCACGTAATGGGGGAATCTCTCCCGCCATATCGGCTCGCTCTACGCCCTCTAGACGTTCTAGTCCGCACCACTTCTTGGCGCTCCACTCCTGTTTTAGGAGCTCGTACACTCGACTTCGAAGTTTAGAGCGCCATCTGAACGAAAAGCGCTCCAACTTTCTTCTCAGGAGCCCTAGCGGTCGGAGCGGCAGAATCGTCGAGTCCAACATACACACGTTCTGCTCGAACTCACGTTCTTTTGCTTCTTCAGCCGTCTCTTCCGAGCTTGCGGGCTCGTCCACCTTCCCTTTGACCGCGCTAACCACAGGCGGCAGCCGTTCCGTTTCCTCACTAGCCTCCTTGGAGTCTCGAATTGCTCGCTTTGCACCCGTAGAAGCCTCCATCTTTCATTCATACCAATCCAGCCAATACGCAATACTTCTGGCGACAGCTTTGGAAGGAACCAGGCAGCGATTATACGAAGAGTGGGTTGGTGCGTACCATTGTAAAATTCAGCGACGCAAGCAAAGGAAACGATACAGTAGCAGAGTGATGAACTCGCAAGAAAAACAGCATCTGGCTCGACACAGACTCTAAGGCCAAACATGATAGTGCATGTTTTACTTAGCCATGTTTTCATGTTAACCATGATTTTACCATGTTTGCATTAGAATCCTGGTATTAGTTATATGACATTAGGGAGGTCACTCATGCAATTTACCAGTGAGCCGGCGCAGCATCATCTCTCCCATTCTTTAATTTTCTTGATCTCCTGTCAATATGATTGACCATGTCTGTTGGTGAACATATTATACCAAGCTGTCGTATTTTATTTTACGAAATCATGGGAAAAAAACTTAGAAATACCCATGCTTTTTTATCAAACCCTTTGGTCTGTAGCATCCGCCAAGTCTTTTTGCTGTATTAAAGATGGCTACAGAACTCACACGTCGCAGATGCCATTTTTTATCCCACCTGATTCCTACTGGTCAAAAATTTGATTAAAACTCTGGCGGCCTCCATTTTCAAACGTGGAAGCTTGCGAGTGAGTACACAGTGTAAGCGTACAACATGAAAGCACCGAAAGTTGGCGTAGATGTTACCGCGCATAAGGAGGAACATAATGTGACCGACGCCAAGAAGAAAACGAAGCTACGAGTGCGCTACTACGTGGAACTCGTGGTGGGCTTGCCGCGGGAGAGCCACACGCGTTTGGGCTTCTCGGGCTCGTTCCAGGCGCTCCTGCGGCTGCATCGCGACTTCGTGCGATTATACGTGGAGAAACACGGGGATCCCCACAGCGGATTACTTACTGGGCGCGAAAGTTTCCTATCAAATTCATCATCCACGTCGCGCTCGTCGGTGTCCTCTACGTCGAAGAGCTCACCCACCTCACTCTCGAGTCTCGTGCGGCACACATTTGGCCTTAAAAAGAAGTCAAAAAGCACAGGGGACGCAAATATTAACGGTGAGGGATCTGCAAACAACCAGCATACGCGCTATATCCACCACCACCGCCACCACCACCATCAGTACCCGACTACACAGGAACCACCTATCGGGATCGTGCCATTCCCTGCTCAGAATAAGATGCTGGTTCATCTAGAAACCGGTGAAGCCAAGGACGATGACAAGATCGAAGCTCGCAACGCTGCTTTGTTTGAATACTACTCACAATTGTTCAATTCAGACGACGGTGAAATGTTCCTGGAACTGGTTCACCAGCGAGCGAAAGAGCGAGCAGACAAGAACAAGAATGAACTCGTGGAAAATCAGTCGGAGGATGGTGCTGAGCCTCACAGCAGTGGTGGTTTTCTCAAGCTACTGGGTCGTCATCCAAAGACTGAAGATGCTAAAAGCAAGAAGCATGTCGAATTTTTCGAGCCTGTGTACGTGCGCGCAAGAGGAAAATCGAGGGGCCGTAAATCTACGCATCGGAAATCTAGCCTGCAAGCTCCATGATACATGAGGCCCTGCTTTGGTTGAAGAAAGGTAGCGAGATGCGAATAACGAAGTTTTTCATAGTTTTAGTTTTTCGAGTAACAGTAACAGGTAAGTAGATGAACATCACACTTCAGTAATTAATTCCTCGCCGTCTTCGCCGCTGACCTAGGCGTCAACGTCGGTGTCAAGAAAGTCTTCTGTGTATAGATCATCCATAGATTGACCCCTATCGTCTTGCAATTCTTCTTGTGCGACGGTTCTTTCTCCACACCCCCAACTTCTTTTGACACCTCAACATTGATCAGTGCTGCATCAGCAGCTTCATCAATAGAAGTCTTTTTCCAATCGCTCGTGAGGTGTTTTGCATCGTCCAGCATATCAATTGACAACAACTCGCTATCAGAGCCATCGTCCGTATCCAGCCTTAAAACACTCTCAATGGCAGCTAGCTTTTGCTGCTGTATCTCGTCCAATTCTTCATCTGTTGTGTTATTATACACCCGTTCCACGGCGACGCACCGAACACCGCCAGACGGTTGGTCCTTTTCAGGATCAGCTTCAACCGAACTTAATTCATGCTTTCCAGCATAGTGCGACTGAAATGAGTTAATGTTGGCGAAATCAACACTCGAAGTTGCAGCGGCGTGGCTCTCGTGACACCCTTCTACGACCAATCCTCCCGTGGTTTCATCAGCGATGAAGCCGTTATGATGCGTTTGCTGCTGCGCTTCCAGGTTACCTTCTTCTTTTGAGGTTGAAGTGACAATAGCCCCTGATAAAGTTGTTGTAGTAGGATCTTCCGAAGGGATTAAAGCACCCTCAGAGTTGTAAGATCCATTGCTTGGCTCCGACTCCGTGTTTGGAGCTGTTAATGCTATCGGTCGTCGCAAATCTCGAGGAGTTACCGTTGAAAAACTTCGGGATTTCGGAGCAGAAAATGCAGTTGGCAGTGTTGATTGTGCATCTGCAATCGACTTGGAAGTGGCTGGCCGTGATGACTTTAGTTTCTCACGCTTGATGGAAGCTAGTGTCTCTCTCCGCACGAACTTTTTCATCTCGTCGAGTGCTTGAGCCAGTATCACCTTTTGTGTTGGAGGTGACATTGTATGCTTTCCAACACTCTCACTGAATTCTCGATCGTATGTCCGCTTGCGCTGCTCAAGAGTAAGGTTACTCTGAATCTGCTCCACATGAGACTTTAAGAATCCAATCTCTTGTTCTAGTTTGCGCTTTTCATAGGTAATCATTCTATTCTCTTGCTGAAGCTTGGCCATTTGTAGATTATTTCTTGCCTCCACGTCTGCAAAGGCAGCCAACTTTTGTTCGTGAGCTTCCCTTTCAAAACGCTGTTGATCCAAAAGTATTTGGTGGTGACGCAATTCCTGATACAATTGAACTCGCTCCTCCTCCAATTCCATGAGGTTTGTGCTCTTTACACCACTACGAAGGGACTGCATCGCTTCCTCGTAAGAAGTCAGCAATTGAGACTGTTGGACAAGCTTCTGCTTCAGCCTCTGCGTTATGGCATGGACCTGACGATCACGATCCGCCAATTCCCTTTGACTCACACTTCTATTTGTGCGGAGGGACCTATCTGCACCAACAGCCTTGGCATGCAACAAAGACTCGATTTTCTTGTCTTTCATGGCTACCACCTCTTCCAGGCGACGAGCAT